CGCACGTATGGCTGGCGACAGCCTGTCGTTAGGGTTCCCTTTTAAAAGGGAACCCAAAGCCGAGATCTCGTGGGCTTCTTCTTCTCGTTTTCTCTTCCAGCCACGGCGGCTCTCTCTTCTTTCGCGATCTCTTTCTCCTTCAGCTCACGTTGATTTTGAGGGAGGAATTTAAGAAAGGGGGAATTTATTGAGGGGAGAATTAAAGAGGGGAATTAAAGGGAATTGTTTACTAAATTGTTTATTGTAGCTACAGTAACAATTTACATTTATTGAAAGATCTCAAGTTTGAGATATGCTCTTATATTGTAATTTCTTTGATTAATAAGAAATTAATTGTGTGGCTCCCGAGGGGATAGGCAAGTTTGCCGAACCTCGTAAATCTTGGTATATTTTTCTCTATACTGTGTTTCTTGCTGTTTTAGGGGTTTAGCGTAGCCCCTGGGTATTCCCCAACATAAGGGTCAATTGTAATTGTACATAGTTATATATACTTTGTGATTGTACATAGTTAAGTATATCTTTTACATCTCATTAAAGTTCCTAATTATGTTGAATATGAGAGAAAAATTCGTAATTTCATCCTTGTACATCGTGAAACCATAAATTTCTGGCTCGCGACTGATTACGTGCTCCTCCTCATAGTAAATGGGGCAAATCTTCAACTATAACTGGCATAAGAACAATCTACAGACAACTCTTCAAGTCTCCATTCATACGCAAATATAAGCCTCAAATGGGCTTATTTGCAAAGAGCTCTAATCTATTATCAGCCACAACCAAGGAAGTCCAAGGAAGGGAAGCTTCCATGGCGTAGTCTTCTCAGTCCCCCTTCCTCTACTTGGTCCCCAAGATAAAAACATGCGCACCGTTTCCAGCAGTCTCGTGTCACAAAAGTCAAGAAACGGTCCAAGACGTCATTTTACTCTATTGAAAATGACTCTGTGTTTACCTTCAAAGCTATATAAAACCTGCACAGCCTCGCACCTTATCCTTCACCACTGGTGCAGGCGAAGCAAAATGGAAACCCCCCTTCCTCTCCCTTCAGCAGCGGCATTTTCCTTGCTATCTGCGCTCTTCTTGTACCTCACCTTCAGAGCCTACCGCTCTCTATGGTGGAAGCCCAAGAAGCTCGAGAAACTCCTATGGCAACAGGGCATCAAAGGCAATCCTTACAGGGTTCTCTATGGGGACATGAAAGAGGAGATGCGAGCATTCAGAGAAGCGTGGTCACGTCCCATGGACGGGCTCCATCATCGAATCGTGCCGAGAGTCGTATCGTTCATGCATCAGACCGTGCAAAAATATGGTATGCATACGTACCTATGCTCGCTATACGTATACTGAAAAAAAAACTAGATACTGTGTCCTGAGAAACATACCTGCTTGCGCACAGTGTGGAAAACAGTGGGAGGAAATATCCTAGGAATATATAGTTAGGAATCAATTGATAACTAGTTTTTTTGGTTGAAGGGGTTCAGTAGCAAGCTTATATATATCCTAGGATATATAGTTAGGAATCAATTGATAATAATTATTCATAGGGGGGAAATATCCTCCAAAACTCTGGGGTGTTTTCCACGTTTAACACTCTTAAAACTTTCCCGCCAGACCCCCTAAACTTCAAAGAATGTCAAATAATCTCCATAAAGCTTTAATTTTTCCAATAGAAAGCCTCTAAGAGTAAGAGAAGACGGGGCCCCTAGTGAAAACAAGGAAAGAACGGAATGGGAAAGTAACAATCAAGTCCTCCAACGGCAAGAGTCTTTTTTGGGAGTTTTTCTGGGGGGGAAATTAAAAAGATTTGTGGGGTTTTTGAGACACTGCAGTTTCGGGTGAAGTGGGGAAAACTTCTGGGCGTTTAGTGAGAAAAATTTTGGGTGGTTCTGTTAAATCTACCCAGATTAGGATGAGAATACCCCTCTGGTACCGTATGCCATGCTTAGGAAATTATTCCTTATAATGAATGTCTTGGCAATTCTTCATAATACGCTAGCAATTTATATGTCTGGGTAAAATCTCTGGATAATAATCACTTTTTCAGTAAGTGTACATTAGCACATTCGATCTGCGCTAGCGTAGGTATACATGAGAAAAGCAGTAGTATCTAAAACAAGAAAACTTTTGCAGGCAAGATGTGCATCATATGGGCAGGAAAGACTCCCAGAGTACTGATATGGGATTCGGAGATGGTGAAAGAGGTCTTTTCAGAAAAATCCAGTCAGATCAGGAAACCCCCACCGAATCCTCTGATAAGTATCCTGGCCCAGGGAGTGGCGAGCCTCGAAGGCGAGGAGTGGGCTAAGAGGAGGAGAACAATTACCCCAGCCTTCCATCTGGAGAAACTGAAGGTCTACACGATTCAAAATGTACGTCTCATGTGTCTGAATTGATAAACTCGGTCAGTTACCGTTATTTTTCTTCGCAGAGAATGGTGCCAGCTTTTGCAACTAGCTGCGAAGATTTGATAAAGAGATGGGACGGGTTAGTTGGTACTCAAGGGTCCTGTGAGGTTGATGTTAGCCCTGAGTTCCAAAATCTCACGGGGGATGTCATTTCACGAACTGCCTTCGGAAGTAGCTACGAAGAAGGGAAGAGGATTTTCGAACTACAGAAGGAACAAGCTGAACTGGCCATTGAAGCTGCCCGTGTACCTTATATTCCAGGATACAGGTGAGCTCCGTATTTGCATTACTATCAAACATTAGGAGCTTGCTAATTAGTAAGAATTTCATGTATTGGATTGTTACAGATTCATCCCAACAGCAAAGAACAGGAGGAGGATGTGGATATACAGAGAAATCAGGACTATCTTAAGAGAGATGATAGATAAGAAGCTAAAATACATTGAAACTGAAGGATCAGAAAGTGGAGATTTACTAGGATTACTCCTGCAGTTCACAAGTGGTGACGATAAAAAGTATGAAATCAAGATTGAAGATGTGATTGAAGAATGCAAGCTGTTCTACTTTGCAGGTCAGGAAACAACATCGACGTTGCTCACCTGGACAATGATTCTTCTGTCGATGCATCCCGTCTGGCAGCAGAGAGCTCGCGAAGAAGTTCAGAAAACCTGCGGGAATAATACACCGAATATGGAATCCATAAACCAGCTTAAAATTGTGAGTACACATACGTACTAAGCTTAAATAATATTCCCTTCCTCTATACCAAGAACTTCAAAAAGCCCAGATTCAAATCCATCTAGTCAGGTAAAGAAGAATTAGAAAAGGTATTGCTGCTATAAAATAGCCCAAGTTTCAGCAACGCGTGTTAGAGGGTAAAACCATAACTTTCAATTATCATCCTTTCGTTCTTAAGTTCATTCTGCTGCACAAAAATTTTGAGGATATGAGAGTTGAAGGTATGGTTTTTTGCACTCCAACCAACATTAAATTGACTTACTGCGTTTTCTGAATTTGAATGTAGGTAACCATGATATTTCATGAAGTTTTAAGACTATACCCCCCTGTTACCTTTCTATTACGCCATACTTACAAGGAAACAAAGCTAGGAGAGTTTTGCTTCCCTGCTGGTGTAGATTTCGGTCTTCCTATATTACTCATGCACCATGATCGAGAATTATGGGGTGACGATGCAGAGGAATTTAACCCCGAGAGGTTTTCAGAAGGGATATCAAAGGCAACTAAAGGGGGTCAAAATGCATTCTATCCCTTCGGATGGGGACCGAGGATATGTTTAGGACAGAGTTTCGCTATGATTGAAGCAAAGATGGCTCTAGCTATTATTCTACAGCACTTCTCCTTTGAGCTCTCACCTTCTTATTCGCATGCCCCATATACTGTGATGACTCTCCAGCCACAACATGGAGCTCATGTTACCCTACGTCGACTATAGGATTTTAAACAGAAGATTTTATGTGGTTTTTGGTTAGGTCCTTACTTTACTTGTACCAATAAATATCGGTAACACACAGATGTGAAGCTGATTGCTTAGGAGTTAATACTCATTTCTCTTTATTTTAAATTTCCCCCTTTTGGTACTAATAAATGCAGAAAATGCAAAACCAGATTCTCATCGTCATATACCTAAATTTATGAACACGATCACAAGGTCTACTTGTTTACATTTGAATCTAAGACTAGGAGGTCATATACCTAAATTTATGAACACGATCACAAGGTCTACTTGTTTACATTTGAATCTAAGACTAGGAGGTCACAAGGTCTCCAAAGGCATCATGATGTTTAGATTGCAGAAGTATAGCAAAAATTTTCATTAGAAGGAACTGTCACATAAGCAGAAATTCAAAATTGCAAATATTGGGACATTCTGAAATATACTTATGGAAAGAGAGATGTCATGCAAGATCCTGGATCTCTTCTAACAAGGTGTCAGATATCATCGATACCTGTGTTGGATGCTGTGCTGAAAGAATATGTTTATAATCAAGTGATCAACTTACGGAAACACTCAAATGATCCAGGTTTGTGATATTAGCCTCTGCCTCAGTGATTAGCCAATGCATGTCAGCAAACAGCACTTGATGCCCATATCTAGTTTTCTTTTCAGTATGATCCACTTTATCAAAAATTATAATGACAAATAATATGCATCTAAATTCATTCCATCCCTGCCTAGTTGAAGTGCACTCCGTTTTGCTCTCTAGCTGATCATTTTCAAATTTATATCACGCAAGTAATCTTCATAACATGAAAATTGAAATATTCTGCTTTCAGAAACAAGCAGCGGATATGTTGTGCGCAGCGGAAATTTCGGCAACACCTCCGGTGCGCAAGGTGCACAACAAGAGATTAGATCACAATGAAATTCTTGTTTCTCAAAGGAAACAAGAACCAAAAGCCAGATATCTCATCAAAGTGAGATATCAGCTCTTCCTCTCATCAGCTCTAGGACTGCGCGTCGAGGGAACCTACAAGCTATTACAAATCACGGCAAGAACACAAATTTTACGTGGTTCGGCAAATAGCCTACGTCTACGGGGCAAGGAGGGGGGGTCTACTACTAGAGGGAGAGAATACAAGTAGGGTCTACAATCACTCAATCTAAACCCTCACACAATCTCTCAAATCCCTCACACAAATCTCTCTCTACAAAAGGATGCACAAAAGAACTCCTCCGTCACAAACAGCATTCAAAACCACCTTCACGTTTTGCTCCTGCAGCCGCAAAGTTCCCGCAGCCTAGCACTATAGCCGTAACTCCCAAAAAATTGCCGAAGTTGTTCTTTTGCCCAAGCCTTGCACTCCTTTTGCACAGCAGCCTAAGTATTGTACCGTCGCTCCTTTGCTGCTATCTCACCCCTCAAATTTGCACACGAAACAAAAAACCCTAGGTGCCCTTTTATAGCAATCAAGCAATCGGGTGGGCCCATGCATTCACGAGGAAACCAAGCCTCTGCGTTTACCCAACTGCATGGCCCCCACACACAAATCAAGCAACGTGTTTTCTCAGCTCATCTCTTCACGTGGCTGATTGGTTCACGTGTTTTGTGGCCCTCTAGTCGGCCCCACTCACAATTCTCCACCTCGGCGAAGTTTTTCCAAAACTGACCCGACACCAACCAAATCAAATGCCTCACTTGTTAGTGGGGCCGACTAGACTACACCGACTACACTAAATGCCTCACTTGCTGAGACCCAAATGGGAGTGCAAACACTCACCCCAAATGTCGATGTCGCTCACTAAATCGGCTGCATCATAAATACTGCCTACGTATCCTCTTGCCCAAGGAATCAAGCCTTCACATCGTTCACCCAAATGGCCTCCTAAGGACCTCAATCCAATAGAAGAGTTTGCAACCCTTCTCCAACATCACGATCAAGTCTGCGGCTGATAGCACCTCCAATGGTCCTAAACTGAAACAATCCAAATATCTCCACCTGAGATGAACAAACGGCCATGTCTAGACTATATCTATCAGCTACACTCGAATCAATCAACCTATCATCTGCGTCCAAAACAACATGATTCCCAATCTGTGTCACGTCAGCTGGAATCCCAAATGATGCAGTATGATCTGGAGTCTCCACCCAACGTGGAGTAGCATCACTCTCCACCCACTGTGATGTCCCAAATATCTGATCACCACTCTCCACCTGTCGAGAGTCAAATGTGACATATCTGCTCAGAACAAAGTCAGAAGCCAATACCTGATAATCAAACACGCCTCTGAATCCTAAATGACATATCTGCTCAGAACAAAGTCAGAAGCCAATACCTGATAATCAAACACGCCTCTGAATCCTAAATGTGTTATCGGGTCAAATCTCACATCCACGATGTGACCAAGTGCTGGGTAGCCAAACATCCGACGCAACCCAAAATCTAAAGCAGCTCCATCAGATCTCATATCTCTACATGCAGCAGTCGGCAACCTATACATAAGACGGCCCAAATATGTCGTAGCCTGCACACCAATGCCAATGCTCGACATCAAACGCCGATCCTCCTCCAGAAAAGAACAGCTCCCCAAATCTGCCATCTCGCCTCATCGCCTCAAAGTTTCCACACCAATGAAGTGTCTCCTATTGCCGTGAGCTCGGTACAAATATAAGAAAGAACCCCTACCATAATCAGAACGTCGGGTTACCTTTCTACCAACACACTTCCTCCATCTGTTGCGGGTTTCTAGGACTTCACACCAACGGGACTTGGTTGCAACCCATCACTGCCTAGAGCAATCCCCAACTGCGGAAACCACATACCTATTACCTCCCAATGATGCTCTCTTGGAAGGTTCCCGAATGCCTGAATGAACACCCCTTAGAAAACCCCTCGAATGATGGATAGAAGTGCCAAAATCCACCTCGGTCTTCTTGCTCATACCAATGGGTTCACAGGACTTCAAACTGCAGGTCATAGCACTCCTCAACAACCTATGCACGGTATTACCAATCAAATAACCCAGCATCAAACAACGCCACAGTCTAGCCGAATCTGATGAAGTCGTCATCTCCCTATCAATCTCCGTGCTTCCGAGCAAATAATATAAATTGCTCCTTCTGACGCCCTTCATCACAATCATGAACCCCAATGTGACCTTCAAACGTGCATCCATCAAGGTCATTTTATAGCCTACTGCCTCCAAAGCTCCAAGTGAAATGATGTTCATCTTCAATTGTGGAACGAACCTCACTTCATTCAACTCTCGAATCACCCCGTCACTCATCTTAATCCGAACGGTACCAATACCACCAATAGAGCATGCATGTTCATTACCCATGAGCACAACATCCTCTCTTTCCAATTTCTGAAAGCTGGAGAACCAATCCCTCCTAGGGAAAACGTGGTAAGAAGCACCCGAATCCAACATCCACTCTGTAGAGTTGGCAACACAAACTGACGGTAGTGCAGACAACGAATAGCCCGAAGAATCCGAATCTGAATTGTCGCCACTAGTCTTGACAACATTCACCTCTGAAGCTTGTACAGCTTTCCCCTTGTTCTTCTCGGCTCGATCTAACTTTGGGCATTCGGCTTTCCAGTGTCCATCCTCTTTACAAAATGCACACTGATTCCTACGAATCCTACGATGTGCACCTCTAGACCACGACCTTCTGCTTCGGTTTGAACCACGGCCTTGAACTACTAATGCATCTCCCGATGCCTTCTCGGAGGACTCATCAACACTCTTCCTTAACTCATAATTCACCAACGCTGAGGTCACCTCCTTGTAACTAACAGTAGTTCTTCCATTAATCATAGTTAGGACAAAAGTACCATAATCATCATCGGGCAACGAACACAAAAGTAGCATCGCCTTGTCTTTATCCTCAACCATGATATCCACATTAGACATGTCTGAAAGTAGCTTTGTGAAGTTATTAACATGCTCCCTAATGGAAACTCCCCTCTTCATCTTGAACTGGTAAAACCTCTTCTTCAAGTGAAGCCGATTCTCAATGCTCTTAGTAAGATACTTTTCATTGAGTGTTTCCCACATCTTCTTCCTCGACGTCTCATTCATCACGTCATAAATAAGATCCGGCGTCAAGCATGACCGAATAACTCCACACGTCCTACTATTCATCTTTTTCTAAACCTTAGCTTCCATATCGGTAGGTTTCTCTTGTAACTCAAGAGTCTCCTCCAAATTCTGAGCGTCCAAGGCGTCCATAACCTGACACCTCCACAAACCGAAATTGATCTTGCCGTCGAACTTCGGAACATCAATCTTCATGTTATTGATGCTCAAACTATGTATCGTCTTCGTAAGAGACGATTCCGATGTGCTTGTTTCACCCATGTTGTCGATCTAATCTTTAAATAAGAATCCTTCAGCAAATCCTTCAAACAAGCTCCCAAGTCCAACCCGGAGCTCTGATGCCACTTGTTGTGCGCAGCGAAAATTTCGGCAGCACCTTCGGTGCGCAAGGTGCACAACAAGAGATTAGATCACAATGAAATTCTCGTTTCTCAAATAAAACAAGAACCAAAAGCCAGATATCTCATCAAAGTGAGATATCAGCTCTTCCTCTCATCAGCTCTAGGACTGTGCGTCGAGGGAACCTACAAGCTATTACAAATCACGACAAGAACACAAATTTTACGTGGTTCGGCAAATAGCATTCAAAACCTCCTTCACGTTTTGCTCCTGCAGCCGCAAAGTTCCCGCAGCCTAGCACTGTAGCCGCAACACCCAAAAAATTGCCGAAGTTGTTCTTTTGCCCAAGCCTTGCACTCCTTTTGCACAGCAGCCTAAGTATTGCTACAAGCTATTACAAATCACGACAAGAACACAAATTTTACGTGGTTCGGCAAATAGCCTATGTCCACGGGGCAATGAGGGGGGGGATCTACTACTAGAGGGAGAGAATACAAGTAGGGTCTACAATCACTCAATCTAAACCCTCACACAATCTCTCAAATCCCTCACACAAATCTCTCTCTACAAAAGGATGCACAAAAGAACTCCTCCGTCACAAACAGCATTCAAAACCTCCTTCACGTTTTGCTCCTGCAGCCGCAAAGTTCCCGCAGCCTAGCACTGTAGCCGCAACACCCAAAAAATTGCCGAAGTTGTTCTTTTGCCCAAGCCTTGCACTC